CGTAAGTAAACAACCTCCTGTAACCTACACGCGTCTGTGCCTGGTTAATTCCACTCCATCCATCACTACCTGCCTGCCGAGCTCTAAATCTAAACACTCCGGTGTGAGTCAGGCGGCTGCCGGCTGCCGCTCTGATTCACGACATGAGGAAGAAACATGACCATGTATCATGCCTAAGATGAAACACAGAGTGGTCATTGTGGGAGACTCCCTCTTGAGGGGGACAGAGGGAGCGATTGGTCACCCCAACCTCTTAGTTTGCTGCCCCCACAGGAGCCCAGATCTGGGATGTGGCTGAGAGGATTCCAAAACTTATCCGGCCCTCTGACCACTACCCCATGCTCCATATCCATGTGGGCACAAATGACATGGCTTGGAGCAATCCCAGCTGGGTCATGAATGGCTACAGGGCTCTGGGAGTGAGGCTCAGGGGGTTGGGAGCACAGATGGTTTTTTCCTCAATCCTTCTAGTTACAGGTCACAGGCTGAGGAGGAAGAGATGAATGGAGGCAGTAAAATGAAAGACTGTAGCTCTGGTGCCATCATGAAGACTCCAGCTTCTATGACCACAGCCCACAGTTTGCAAAGAGTGGTTTGTTGGGAAGAGACCGCCTCCACCTCACTCCACTGGGGAAGAAGCTCTTCTCAGCCAGAATGGCTGACTTGCTCGACTGGGCTTTAAACTAAGCTCGCTAGGGATGGGTGAACAACCACCAGAGCAAGCTCACCACACATCAACTGCAGCAGGTTAGGATGCTCAAGGGAACCTACCACTACCCTAGCAGAGGAACAGAGCTGCTCTGTGAGAACAAGGAAGTCTAGGACTTCCAGCAGCATACTTGCCTATACACTAATGCTAAGAGTTTAGTGGAATAAACAGGAGGAACTGGTCCTTCTGCTAAACAAAAATGACTACAATCTCATAGGGATAACAGAGACCTGGTAGGACTCCTCTTATGACTGCACTATGGGTATAAATGGCTATACCCTGTACAGGAGAAATCATGATGAAAAAAGGCAGGGGAGGGGGTATAGCTCTCTATGTGAAGGAGAGTTATACATCCCTACAAGCTGAGATTGGCACCCAAGGAGGACCATTGGAGACCCTTTGGGTTAGAATACGAGGGAAACGTAGTGAAGGGGGTACAATGGTAGGAGTCTACTACAGACCTCCAAATCAGGAACAAGAGCTTGACCAAGAATTTACCAGGGAACTGGCCAAGGCTGCCCACTCTTGGTGGATGGTTGTCATAGGAGACTTCAACTACCTGGACATCTCATGGGATGAGCACTGGGCCAAATCCAATCGGTCTCAAAGCTTCCTTTGGGGGTGTGTGGATGAGCTCCACCTGTCCCAAGAAATTTATGGGCTGACAAGAGGCAAGGCGCTGCTGGACCTGGTACTGGCCAAAGGGGATGATCTAATCAGTGACCTGGGTGACAGTGCCCACGAGTTGATCACTTTCACTATCCATCGCAAAGCTGGCAAGTCATCCAGCAATACAGCAGTCCTCGACTTTAGGAAAGCTGACTTTCATAAGCTCAGGAGGCTTGTTCTTGAGGCCCTGAGATGCCATGATTTCACAGGGAAAGGAGTTCATGATGAGTGGTTGCTCTTTAAGGAAGTGATCCTAGAAGCACAAGGCAAGTCCATCACAACCCATAGGAAAGGTGGTAAAAGGGTTCAACAATCCCCTTGGCTCAACAGGGAACTCATGGACTTCCTATGTCTAAAAAAAGAGGCTTATAAAGGATAGAAGACAGGAAACACCACTAAGGAGGAGTATTCTGCACTGGTCCACACCTGCAGGGAGTGAACTAGGAAAGCCAAGACTGCAACTGAACTCCAACTGGCCACATGAACCAAGGCCATTAAAATGTCCTTTAGATATGTGGGGAATTGAAAAAAAAACAAACAAAGGCAACATTGGACCCCTGCTAAACTAGCTGGAGCACTTGACTACTGACACCGAGGAAAAAGCCAATCTACTTAATGATTACTTTGTGTCGGTTTTTCACAAGCCAAAGGGACCACCCTGCCTAACATGATGCACAATGACCAGGGTGAGGGTGAATATATGTCTAATGCTGGTGTGGATCCTGTGAGGGAGCATCTTGAGAGGCTGGACTACCACAAATCAGCTGGTCCGCACAGATTGTACTCAAGAGTGCTAAAGGAACTGACAGACATCCTAGCGTGGCCACTTGCAAGGGTATTCGAGAACTCATGGCACTCAGGTGGAGTACCTGAAGACTGGAAGAGGGCCAATGTGGTACCCATCTTCATGAAAGGGAGGAAATAAGACCCGGGAAACTACATGCCAATCAGTTTGACCTCAATTCCTGAGAAGATTTTTGGAAAAAATTATCCAAGGATCCATTCCTGACAGGCTAATAGAAGTCACCATTCTGAGGGATAGCCAGCATGGGTTTGTTGCGGGTAGGTCTTCCCTGACCAACCTCATTTCCTTCTATGACTAGGTGATGCATCACCTGGACAAAAGGGAAGAGGTTGATGTTATATATTTGGACTTTAAAAAAAGACTTCGACCTGGTGTCCCATGATGTCCTCATGGAAAAACTGGGCAACTGCGGCCTCAACTACTCCACAGTCCAATGGCTCTGAGGTCAGATCCAGAGAGTGGTAGTTGACAGAACCAAATCAACGTGGCACTCGGTGACTAGTGGTGTCCCCCAAGCCTCCATTCTCAGACCTGTACTCTTTACCTGTTCTCAGGCACTGGTGTTAGAAGCGGACTAGCTAAGTTTGATGATGACACCAAACTTTGGGGAAGAGTGTCCACACTTGAGGATAGGCTGGTGATCCAGGCTGACCTCAATAGGCTTGCAAGGTGGGTGGATGAAAACCTGATGCATTCAATACAGAGAAATCCAAGGTGCTCCACCTTGCGGCACCTCCCCCCACCCATCATACTTATAGGCTCTGCAATGCTACACTTGCTAGCACCATGACCAAAAAAGACTCAGGGGTCATGATTGACTACAAGATGAACATGAGCCACCAATGCAATACCGCAGCTCGCAAAGTGAACAAAACTCTGGCTTGCATCTACCAATGCATCTCGAGCAAGACCCAGGATGTCATCCTCCTGCTATACTCAGCTTTGGTGAGGCCACAGCTGAAGTACTGCATCCAATTCTGGGCTCCACAATTTAGGAAGGATGTGGAGAATCTTGAAAAATCCAGAGGAGAGAGACGTGTATGATCAGAGGGCATGAGAACAGGTCTTATGAAGAGAGGCTGCGAGCTACGGGACTATTCATCCTGGAGAAGAGCAGGCTCAGGGCTGACTTGGTGGCAGCCTATAAGTACATAAGAGGTATGCATCAGGATCTAGGGGAATGCTTGTTCACCAGAGCACCCCAAGGGATGACAAGTTTCAATGGTGGCAAACTCCTGCAAGACCATTTTAGGCTGAACATAAGGAAAAGCGTCTTTACTACCCGAGCCCCCAAGGCCTGGAACAGAGTCCTTCCAGAGGTGGTGCAAGCATCTACTCTGGACACTTAATCATTTAGACGTTTATCTTGCTGGGATCCCTTGACCCTAGCTGACTTCCTGCCCTTGGGCAGGGGGCTGGACCCAATGATCTTATGAGGTCCCTTCCAGCCCTAATGTCTATGAAATCTATGAAACATGACACTCCATTTAAACCTGTATAAAACCATTTGCTTAAACATTCATTTGTTCTGCCTGATAAATAAGATATTTTTTTCTCCAATATTCTTGGGTTTCTAAGTTATTTAGTAGTTGTGGAGTACACAGTATATGTGGTTTGTAATGCTAATGTCAACTTCATTACTTACCACTTATTCAACTGCTCTTCTCTACAGTTAACAGGAGATCCAATGAAATTTATAAAATTAAAATTCTAATTACAAAACAATTAAAAATAGGATACCGCTGTATTACAGTTTCACATTCAGTCATAAAATTTAACAGTGAATTTACTATGGCAGTTATCAACATACAAGCGTAAATCATGTGACATCCCACAAGTTGAATCAACTTGTACCTCTGAAGTATCTGAAACAATAGATGCATCAGTCTTAATCTTCTGTGCAATTCTGTTATCATCTTCATCAGCAACAGGACCCTAGGTTATTAGCATAAAATAAGGAAAAGATTAAATTTACTACATAAATCCAAGGGTCGGCAAACTATGACCTCTAGCCCAGATCCAGCCTGAATATTAGGTCTTCAGCAGTGTTCAGCAGCAGGGGCTTCTCTATGGTGTAGAGAAGTGCAGGGGACAGCCCTTTCTCCACACTGCAGTAGGGAGAAGTGGTAGCAGTGGGAGCTTTCTCTGTGCTGTGGTGGGGATAACCGACAGCAGTAGGAACAATCTCTGTGCTGCAGCAGGGAAAAGCATCAGTGGAAGCAAAGGCACAGGCAGAGGGGTCCTAGCGTTTGTCCACCTCTGACTGAACATGGTTGTTGACTGGTGATATATGTATGACACCTAAAAGCAAAAACTTTCAACCCAGATCTGAGTAAGTCTCATTTTTTGCAGCTGCAGGTACTTTCTTCATCAAAGCAGTTACAATGGGTGCATCTACATGTGCTATTAGCACGGAGCAATAAACTCCAGTGCATATTACGTCAGAACTTATTACTTCCGGGCATACGTGTAAACCGCAGCATGTTGAGCCAGGTTACAGCAGCCCTGTCAGGGGGGTCAGTCTGTCAGCCTGGGGCTACTCCAACCCAGCTCAACATACTGTCAAAAGGCTAGCTGGGGCACAAGGGTGGGGCCAGCTGGCAAGCAGCCCTTGCACTGAAGCACACTTGTGCCCCAGCAAGCCCTGTCAGAGTCTACATGTGCATTGCTTCACACTAAACAACCCCAATGTAGCATAGTACTTGTATTTATAAGTACTAACCTGCAGCAGAGTTAATTAGTTTCCTGTGGCCTAATAGGGCCACACGTGTAGCTGTTGAGACTTGACCGTGGAGCTATTTAGGCAGCTCTGCAGCAAACATGATCTAACCAGACAGAATAAATTCTTCTTTGTTCCGGTTCTTTGTTTCCTAACCATTTTAAATTTCTAGAGCTCTTGCACTAGGCACCATATTACAACATCTGAGTTGGAAACTGTATAGTAGAACATTAAGATTCCAACAAAAGACAGTTTTCATTTCATTGTTCAATAAAAGCATTTTACTATTTTTGCCTAAAATTTGGGTTATGTGAACAGCAAATCTGGAATATTCAAGGAAGCCTACATAGCTGAACAATGAAAACCCACTGAAATGTGCTTTTGCTTTTTGAACATCTGACTCTTATGCACCAGAATGGAGCTGTAAATCAGGTACCTGAACATTCAAATGACAGGAAATGCATCCCTAAGTAGTAGTGGGGAGAAGAAAAGGAAGGAGAGGAGGCACTTGGGAATAAGAGGGGTCCAAAAACGTATCTATGAAAATGTAACCTAATTAAAGTTGTATATTAATATGTATAAATACATGACTTCCATTATAATTTTTCAGAATTACATTTTTCAAAAAGTTTAATTCCACTAATCAGATGTGCCCTTTTCTAAGGAGAACTAACAACAGACTGACTTAGTTTGTGATTATGATTTCTGGTATGTTTCACTATCCAAAAGAGCAACATTAATAAAGGTAAATTAGATAACAGTAGGAAGAAGTGTGAACTGAAGACACATACTATGTTTTTAATGACTAAGGTTATCAATGTATTCATGAACAGAAAAATAACCTCCCTATAATTAATAAGCCATAATAATATCTAATAAGTAATACTTAGCATACATCCCAGAACATTTTACAATTTGGTGGATTCAGTTAATTAAAATAACTATACTGCAAAGTTACTACGCAAGCAGTAGCAATGCAATCTATTTCTCCTGAGTACAATGCCGATCCCTTTGGTCAGCCTCCCAAACCTAAAATAATGCAGTTTGTGTGGTAAAAATGGCAAGTTAATTAGTAATGTACAGTGCACAGCTATACCGCTTCCACTTGAGGAGGTAGCCTGTGAGAACACTTCCAATTTGGGAGACAGCCTGTGAGGAGCAATCGATATACACGGAAAACATTTAAAACTTACTGGAATCTGTAATGTATTGGCATCCATGAAAGATACTTTCTTGTCAGCTTGAGCTGTGCGCTGCCTTGGTTTGGGCTTTGGTGTCTAGGATAAATAAGCATATTTAAAATGTATCAAAATGTGTTCGTTAATTGCTTGACTTAACAAGAGGAAAGTGTTTTTGTGGGTGATACCTTTTACGGGACTAAATGCATGGTTGGGGTAGATTTAGACAAGCTTTTGGCAGAGACAAGAGGAAGATACTGAGATACCCAAAAGCTTGTCTAAATCTACCCCAACTGTGCAGCTGATCCAATTAAAAAAACAAACAAACCACCCATAACAGCTTTTGTTTTTACAACAGCTTTCAAGGGGAACTAATAGTTTTGGGGGTAAGTCTGACTATAAATACCTGTCATTTATAATTTATTATAGTAAAAAGTTTCAGACTTTGCGAATTCTTTGTAAAGGCAAGATGGTATGAATTATATTTGAAGTGATAACAATTTAACCAGAGAAAGACGCTCATAGTTTCATCCTGAAATTTGATTAAATACCCACAGAGGTTAGTAGAGGCTGCAAGTACAGAACAGAATGGTTGTAGGACTGAATCCCTGAGCAGCAGAACATTTTACACAACAAAATTCTGCTTCATTTGTTTATTTTGCAGACCCGGGGTGTCAAACATACAGTCTGTGGGCCATCTCATCTGGTCCAAAGGAGTCCTAGAAGGGTAAGGAAGAGATGGGGAATGTTCCCAAAAGGTACAGAGCCTGTGTGGAATATATCTAAGCACTGAGAGACAAGAGGCAGCTGTGTTAATTACCACAGTTCCCTGCCACTGCTTGTCTTGCTGTTGCTGCCATTTCCAGAATCAGATCACAAGAAGTCCTGTGGTCTAGATCCAGCCTGGGGGACTGGATGGAGTTTGACACCCTTGTTGTAGACTAATTCTTTTTGCACCAGCTCTTTTTCCTGAATTTTGAAGTAAGAGCAGTAACAGAGGAAGCTAGCAATACTTGCAAAATTAACAAGAAAATTCTAAATGAAGAATTGCCTGTAAAAGCTTTAATGCAGTAAGGAGAGAGTATGATACAGAAGGCAGCTTATTCCCTGTTGTGTTTTTCCCTATGTACTGAGGTGATTTCTGCTAATGAGAATTAAACAAGAATGGGCAACCTTTTCCTCCTTGTATTTTTTTTTAAAATGGTGCTTATTTTAAATATCACTGTTTTACTAACTTCCAGTCAATCTTCTAATAGTGAAAGCAACACACACACTGCTGCTTTGAAGATCTTTCAAACACTCAGAAACATTTTCTTTAGATTTAAGTTATACAAATATGCAACTGTAACTGGACCAGTGACCCAGGGGTGAGCATGATGCTCCCTGGAGGCCACATGGCTCCCATGCCATTGGCTCTAGGTTATCCCCACGTTTTTCCTGCCTGCTATGCCTTGATGTTCTTCATTATCTTTGGAAAGTGAACCCTGCCCTGTCCTTCTGTAAGTGGATCTCTCTTGGGCCCTACTGGTCCCCAACCAGCCTTCACACTAGGTAGGCCCTCCTGTCTTGTATGTGCCCCAAGGCACCTGATGCCTTATGAGCTAATCACGGCCTCTGAACCTCCCCTATAGCCATGCCCATGCCTTGCAGGTGTTTCCAGTCATCACTTAGGTGGGTACTTCACCCCATCCACCAGGCCACCTCAGACCTCCACTCCCTTGCTAATACCTCAGCTTTCCTGGCCTCTGCCTCGGCTAGTCCCTTTAGCCTAGACCCACTGTACCAGGTCTGGCTTCTTGGGCCCCAGCCCTTGTCTTGCTCTTTAAGGCTCTTAGCTTTGTCCCTCCTGGGGTGTTGGCCATTGGTCCTTATCTCTGCCCCTGTCTCTGACCTTCATGGGCTGCAAGTCCCCAACCCTTGCTTCGCCTCACAGACATCACTGCCCCTCTTGGGCTATAGGCCCCTGGCCCTAATCTCAGCCCTGCTTTGGGCTGTGGGCTCTCTAGCTCCGTTTCTGTCCCTGTGGGCTATGGGCCCATGGCCCTGGTTCTTGCCCCTCCAGGGTAATGTTGTGCTCCTATGTCACTATCTCTGCCCCGCTAGAGCTCTGGGCCCTCTGATCTAGTCAGTGCCTTGAGGCTGACCCCTGGCAAGGCTCAAGGCAGTCATGTATCCCTCTGGCACTAATGGGACCTTCAAACCACCCATACAATCCCAAACCCAAACAAAACACATAAGCCCTATGGTTCCAACAAAACTCCAAGATGAAATGGCTGTCTAGTTTCTCCTTGCCCTGGGTCCTATCACCCCTTACATCAAGCAGTCAGTCCTACTGGTATTCTCAGGGCATTCCAGGAGTTAGCAGAGCCTCCCACTGCAACTGTTCAGGGCAGGAGCTCTTTACTTGGTAACTAGCAGGGTCAGACTGATTGCCTGGGTTCAGGCACTGGCTTAAAGAGTCCCCCTCTGTGTCTATGTCTGATGACCTTCTGTTCTCCCTGCTAGGACTTAGCTCCTCTGTCTGCAGCACGTTGTTTCTGGGCTGACTCCCTGACTGCCCTTAATGAATTTTTCTGCTCTGCCTCCCTCCCCAGGTTGAATCATCTTTCCTTAGTTAGCTTCTACCTGTGCCTCACAATCTGGTCTGTTTCCTGGCAGCCATTTCATTAGCAGTTAGCTTGTTCCCTAGCTGCCTGTTATCCCGGATTCTGCCCAGCCTGCTATTCTTTCCTCTTAGAGTAACAGGAGCCTTCTAGCTTCCTGTTATAGGAGTCTATTTCTTTTGGAACAAGGTAGCTGAATTCAGAAAGGAATTAATCACAATCAGTGCTTGCCATTACTTATAATATCCTCTCTTTTGTATGGAGTTAAAGCTGGTTTAATTTTCAGCTTGATTATTTATTAGCTGAGAAGCAATATTCCAAATCTATAGTCTGATGACTACACGGTAAACTATCCTGGACATTTATTTATTTATTTATTTATTTATTTATTTTGGAGGGGGGGAGGGGGGAAGGGGTTCTCATCAGATTGAGGATTTGAACTTACTTTTTAAAATTATGTTGGAAGTCCTACAAAATGGTTGTACAAAAAAGATTTATTTTTTTATTTTTGTGTTCTAAGCTATTGTGTACATGTGTAGGAGACTTTAAAAGGCTTCAAAAACGGCAACAGGGAAGTCTCCCAAAGAAGATCCAAGATTGTAGTTACATAAAGTATATGAACTAAGCACTATGAAATGTATTGTATAGATTAATCCTACTTAGAGCTGGATTTAACGATCTACTATAAAATATCTCTTAAATCTCTTAAGTATTGTGAATTTGCTAAATTACTTACAGCTGCTGATGTACTAAAAGAAGTGATCACGGCTGGAGTGTGAACTTCCTCCTTCACTGGTGATTTAATCTCCATTGATTTCTCATTTTGGATGTAATTTGCTAGGTCTGCAGCAATTGCTGTTCCACTTGGTGGTAGATAGGCAAATCTCCATTTTAGTTCAACATCAATGGTACCTGTTGAGTGCTTTTCACAATTTGTTAATTCAAATGTACCTGAAAGTAAAAAGCCCAAAAGATCTAACTACATAATTTCTCATGCAAAGTGAAACAGCATGGAATGCAAGAATCAAAGAGGATTTATATTCATTTTCTAAAATTCCCTTAAGAATGTCATCATCCAATACACAACATAGAATATTAATTCAAAGCAGAGGGGTATCTCCTAAAGATTCAATCAGAAAATGGGGAATATTTTAAGCAAAGGATTTAAAAACCACAATACAAAATGGCCTGTTAACCTTGTAGGCTTTCCAGGCCCTAATGGACCAGACTGCTCTCTCTCTGATATCACATTCTTTATCTTATTTCGAAGTAGCTTTCTTTAGCTAAAATAATTTCTCTGCTCCTTACCTAAGGTTGATATTTGTTCAATTTTTGTTTTAAACAATTATACAATTAGTTTTTAAATATATGCAAATTTCACTAATCCAGAAACCATCTCTGACAAAATAAAAATAGCTTCTAAGAGCTGTTAGATTTTAATTAATAATGTTGAATAAGAATTTTAAAATAAGACTATCAAGTGGTTCTGAGAGTCTATTGCCAAATGGATACAAGAAAAATTATTTAAATGTGTATTAAAGTATTTAAATACATGTTAGAAACATTTTCTTTTGATTCAAATTGCCACATAATTTGTCTATGCACTGTTAAATATGACTGCTACAAAACTTGTTCTTAGATTCTTAGTGTACACTTCTGCAAATGATTTTAATTCAGTTACCTTTAACTGGTGAATTAAGCAACAGTCATTATTGACTATATACACCCTCTGCAAATAGTTTTGTAAATTATAGATACATATAAAAGGGTGGCCAGAGGATATGAGCTAGAATATGAGTTTTTCTGCGATGCAGCATCATTTAAAAATAGAACAACAGTAATGAAACTTTGCACATTGTTTTAGGTTTATTAGAAAAGTCAAAACTCATCGTGGAGGGTTTTCCCCAGTTATTTCTACTATACGTTCCATTTCTGCAATCATATGTATGAAAGTTGAAATGCTTGTTCAGATGGATGCAACTGCAAAGCCATGGCCTCAGGCCCATATGGACCTATGCCTTAGTACAGTGGTCACTAACCAGTGAAACTTGATCCACCAGTAGATCTCCCAGCCTCTTGGAGTTGATCTGAGGCTGGGGTGGGGGGCTGAATGCCCATTGTGGAAGAAGAAAACCCCAGGCCTTAATTTCTGCTGACTTCTTTGAGTTAGTGCACTATTTGCTAATGAATGCTTTTTCCCCGCCTATTTTGCAATCTGCTCTTTCTCCCGCCCTTATCCCTTGTTAAGCTGAGTAGACCTATAAATTCAATAGGTCAAACCACAGTCTATGCCCTCTTTCAGCTTTCTGGTTCAAACCAGTTTTTCTTTGACTTGTTATATCTTGTCATGTGACCTGAATTAAAACATATAAAAGGCTTGCTTCAATTGTCGGGGGGTGGGGCGGGAACATGCGGAACTGATAAGAGAAAGCTCTGTCTGTCCGGTGCTCTCCCCTGCAGCTGCTTGTATAATAAAGTCTCTGACAACTTCGTGACCAAACAATAAAGTGAAGCTTGTTTCTTCCACAATTCTTGGTGCCATGACTCGGATGGCAACAGCCGGCTGAGAGTACCGACGGGCTTGCAGACTGTTCCCCTCCAAAACCCCAGGTGCCAAATCAAGGTAAGAGACCTTTTGAAATCTCTAAAGGGGTTATCGGTGGAAGACTGCCCGTGCGGGTCGGGGAAACCAGTTTGAGCTTATGCCATCCAAACTTCTGAAATACAAACTTGTCAGACACTCTAAAGGGTTTGTATGAAACTGGTTTATAATTAAAAGAGTAAAAGGAAAAGTCTAGACTAAGTAATATAGAAACCTGGGGAATAGTGAGAGTGTTTTCCATGGTGTCACTGACAAAGGCTGGGACTAAAGAAATATTCTTGAACCCTGTGCCTCAGAGCAGAAGTTTCCTTGTGCGAAAGGAAAGAATAGGAGCTGCTGACCAGGTCTGAGACTAAGGTTGGGTCTAGCTGCCCCAAGGCTGTCTAGAAAGGCAGACTTGAAAGCAAGGGGGCCCAACTAGAACCTCATGACCCAGCAGACAGGTTTATCCTTTCCCCATCCACGGAAACCATCCGGGTAACTGGCAGTTGATGTGACCAAATAACTGTTAGGACGCCACTTCATGCACTGCCCTCGGCTCAAAATTGGCACATCAAGTCCCTTACCCTCTTCCCTGTGTGAGTGCCCTATGTGAATTGAGGGATGGGAGGCTCTGGGTCAAAAGATGTCCCAACCCCGCCAAAAGGAACCCCAGCAGGTTATATGTATGCGCATTATGGTCAAGTTGTGTAAGTTTTTAGATAAATGGAATTGGTATACCAGGGATAACCCTCCAAACAGTTTCCTTCAGAAGGAACTTTTGATCTTGATAAACTGATCCACCTCCAAAAAGTTCTAGAGTCTCGAGGTAGCAAGACCCCTCAAACTCAATGGAATGTCTATTTTGACTGGTATGAAGAAGGCAGTAAGAGGCAACAAGAATCCCGGGTAAGGAGTCTTAAGGACTCCCAAGAAAAACTAAAAAACAATCATTAGCAAATAGTGCATTAACTCAAAGTCAGCAGAAATTAAGGCCTGGGGTTTTCTTCTTCCATACCGTGTGCATGCATGTGTGCACCCCAGCCCAGCAGGTCAGTCCGTGGGGGAGGGAAAAGGTGGGGGGTAGATAGAGGCCCCCGCAGTGAGGGACAGTGCTGCAGAGGCAGGAGCCAGGGTAAGCTGAATGGGACCCTGGCTGGGTGGAACTTACCTGTTGGGGGGGAGACGCCCCCAAATAATTTTTTCTCCCTCTGCCTGGATCTGCCCCCGCCCCACTTCCCTCCCCACAGACTTACCTGCTGGGTGGGGGGGAGGGGAGAGGACGGTGGCAGTGTACAATAGATCTTGGGTTGCTTTTAAATTCCAAAGGTGATCTTCTACTTAAAAAGGATGGAGACCACTGCCTTAGTACAACACCTTAACAGCAGTGCTAAATATTGTTCTAATTCCTTATATGAAGCTTATCACATATAGGACTTTTTCTCCTTTGAGATTCACATTTCTGTTCATTAATTCTGTTTTAAAATAATTTTGTAAAAATAATTTAAAAAACATTCATTTCAATGCATGTAACATAGATTCAAATGCAGTTCCTAAATCTAATTTTTGATCCAGAATTGTCCAAGGGAGGTTAACACTAATGGTGCCTTCCTATATACAGTTTATTGACAACTTGGCTAAGTTTCATCAGTCTCAGCAAATCTGTCAAATATAAGGAGATTAAGAAAATATTAGCAAAATAAAGAAAATATAGATGTCATGTAAGAAATTAAATTCAGGCACTATTAATGAATGTCAACTTATGCTGATCAGACCTATGGCTTATTTATCAAATGATACTCATGTCACAAATGGAACTACGAGCCGAATACAGGAAAAGAGAGTACATATGTTGTCATTAGTGTGACTAGTCTTAGTTACAGCTTATCCTTGATTTTTGTGACTTTTTTTTTTTAAACCTATAGGGAGGTTAAAAACATTATAATAACTCTTTTTCATTTAGGAAAGATTTATGTAAAAATCTGAACCTTACATTCAGCCTGATAATTAGGCAGTTTCTGGTGGTAATGAAAAGCAAAACCTCATAATAAGTTATCAATAGAATTTACTCTGGTGTAAAATTAGAATACCACTAAAATGAGGCCAACCATTTTTAAAGAAATACATAATGGAAAAGCCTGTAAACAGTTTGTTTTCTCTGCAGAAGATAAATTCTTACCTGAGATGCATCTGTCATGCGCTAATGAAATAAGAGGCACACTGGCTTTCCCTATATAAACACTTTCTTCTTTTTCATCATCATCAAACGCATAAAAGGTCAAGGACTCTGATTTAAGGTATCGGTCTAAATCTGCATTCATTGGCACTGGGAAATGCATGTGATCGTCCAACTGTGGGTTGTTGCTGCTGCATATGATGGAAGTATCATGGTCTGCAAAGTCAAAGAACTTGTAGACAACGTAAGGACTTGGCTGAAGGTCATTTTTTCGGGACTGTAGATTGTTACAACATTTTACTGTAATATGGAGTTCATTTAAATTGCCATCTGCTGAAGCGCTGACTCGGGCAGTTCTGAGTATTGACTGCTTTAACTGAAAAAATACATGTTAAATTAAAACCATTAAAATTCTTATGCTGGCACAGTTTAAGAGATATATAAACAGAACAAACTGCTGTTTGCTTGAATGACACCCAAACTACTGTTTAACTAAATTCATGTGTCAAAACTTTATTTGTACAATAAATTTAGCTCAATGTTACTTTGAAGATGCAGAAGAGGGGATGAACCTCTTTGTATCTGCTGCTTGTTTGTTTGCTTCTTCTAAAACTTCATGATTCAGCATGTCAGCAAAAAGTAATTCAATATAAAAACAAGAGTAATTCAATTATAAGTATAGTTACACACATTAACTGGTAATAGAACAATGGTACTAGATCATCAATGGAATTTCATTCATTACAAATGATTATCAGGCCCTTGTATTACTGTATGCTGTGCAGATATATGCCACAAACATTGCATTGCTAATGCAGAGTTGCATTGTAGAGTTTCTTGGAGGCTGAAGGTCTAACATCTGGATGTGGCAGTTTGGTTTTGTGGGACAAAACATACCAGCTGAATACATTTGTTAAATTATCTTTGTGAAATAGTTTATAATAATTATGAAACCTAAATATGACAGTTCCAGATTTATCAGCTGATAGAATTGAGCAGTTCACACCTATCAGAGCTAATATTCAGATTATTCACAGACACGGGAAAACAATTTCTTTATAAAAGTGTGCAATTTGTTCATGTTTTCAGGACTGTTGTACTTTCAAAACTATAAGAGCTAGATTTTTTTTTTAAACAAGTAAAAGTGTAGATTCTAAATTAATGCTACAGCTAGTCCTGCAGCTGCAGACTATATGAAACTTCATATAGTGTTGCTGTTTCTTACAAGATTATTGTTTCCACCATGAAAGGCTTGTAAAAGCAGCAGTGCTTCATTCATGTGTATGGAAAGCTACTCAGTTTTTTGGGGTTTTTTAATGCTCTTCCCATCCATGGGCAACTGGTGCCTCTTGAGTCAGGGGAGGCACATGCCCCCTCCTGACACCGGTCAGTGACAGGGGGTGGGGGTCCCTCTGTGGCTGATCTCACTCACCAGAAAGTGGCCGCGCTGCTTCTGGAAGTCCCGCAGACACTTCTGGAAGCAGCGTGGCTGCTTTTGCTAGCAGCCCCGCTCCCTGGCCAGTACTTACAGGGGGGGCACTGGCACACCTGCCAGTTTCCCTGCCTGTCGCCTAAACAGGGAGTGTGGCCTGACAAGGGGTGCACCAGTGCTCTCAGGTGAACCCCTGTGCACCCACCCCTTATACGTTGCCACTGTTCCCATCCTATTTTTCCCACAAAATACATTTTATCTGTTTTGTTTGGATTTGTAGATATTTGAGATTATGCTTATGTGACAATGACTGAGTTTAGATCATTAACATGGCAGAAAATAAATAAATATAAACCAAAATAGAAAAGACTTAGTAGTAGCTTTTAACTTTCACTTTTTAACAATTTCCAGAATCTATAAATTAAATTTAAATAATTTTCATTTTCTTTAAAACCAGATTTAAATATTCAACGGTATAAACTGCTAAAGTACTTCTGACAGCTACAACCTAAAAGTACTTCTATTGATCTAAATATAGAAATAATGACCCAATTTTGCTTCTCAGATTACACTGATGTAAAGCTGGAGTAATTGCACAGAAACTACTGAAGTTATTCCAAATTTTCACTGGTTTATACTGACAGAATAAATTGGCTCATTAAGACAGTTTAAAGAAAACACTTCCTAAGTCAAATGCCAAAGACATCCGAACTCCCCTTCTTTTACGACTGCTGCTTACAAGTAGGATACATGAGCAATAGTCACAATAGAGTACAGCAGTGGTGCTCAACCTTTTTCCCCAGTAGGTTGGCTAGACGGTGCCTGGTCCAACTGTAGGCCACATGGTGGTTCTGATCCAGTGCCAGGGGCTGGTGCAGCGGGCACCTTCTGGCCACACAGAGCGGGTGGGGGGCAGCTTGGTCTGAACCCGGCTCCATGGGAGGAGAGGGGGGGGAAAGGTAGCTTTATCTAAACATGTGGGGTGTGGGGAGTAGGATGTGATCTGGATGGCAGGCTGAACAGGGCATGGCTTGACCCTTGGTGGGGGAGGGGGGTGGCTCAACCCCAAACCAGGCCTTTGTGGGGTAATAGGCGTGTGACCCAGCCCTGTGGGGAAAAGGGAGCATGGTCTGGCCCCAACCTAGCCCTGTGGAGGAAAGGGGGCTTGGCTTGGCTCTGACTGGGTGCACAGGGCTTGGATTTTAGAAATTTGGCAGCGGGGAGGGTGTCCATATTAATGGTCACCACTCCCCTGCTGCCAAATTTCCCAACCTGTGGGGAGCCCTGTGGGTCAGGTGCCATGGCACTTACATTTGGCCTGTAGGCCAGAGGTTGAGCACCCCAGTGTATAGTAATAGAATTCTTCTAGAAAAAAAACAAACTAGTTAAAAAAAAAAAAAAAAAAAAAAAAGAGGGAAATTAAAAGCTTAGTCCAAAAAAGGATTAGATTAAATGTTCAGCATCATTCTTCTGTTAAGTTACAAAAATATTAAAATAGAGCCATTTATGGGTTTTTTCAACCATTGGTACAATATCATTCTTAAATAACCAAATATAAAACCTACTATTTCCAGGAAAAATCTTTAAATTAACAATACCTTGAGTTAGGACTCACTGGAAAATACTGCAATATTAGCAGTACATTTTGGTTAACATTTTTAGTTTCAATGGCAAGGAAATACTTGTGTTAAAAAAAGAGCAATTTTGAACACTTTGGTCTGTATATTGTATGTCAAGTTCAGAAAAAAGTTAATTTACCTCTGGCATTTGTTCACATTCTTTTACATTGGATGTTATGTATCCTAGAGCTTTTGATCGTTCTTTATAGAGTCGAATAGTCTGATCCATAGGAACACGTAATCTGATCCAGTATTCCACAATGCCATAGTTTTGGATGTTCCCTCCAATTCCTGAAGAAAAGTATAAGTATAAAGAATAACTTTACAACAAGCACATGAAGGCAGTAAAATTTAACACTCAAAAGTAAAAAAATGCCAGAATTAAAGTTACTTCCTGGGCACATACTTTATGATAACTTTGCCAAAATAATATCAGTAGTCTATGGCAGAACAGGAACAGAACTCAGCTCTCCTCGATTTAGGTCCATTGCCTAGTGCAAAACAACAACCTTTGTCAAATGTCTGCCTCATTCACTGTCCGCATCTTGTGTACTAAATGAGGCAGAGGTCCAAAATAGCATTATCATCCAATTAAAGCCTAAAATAGATTTGCTTGGAACAGAAAGAGTCTGGAAAGGTTAGAGTCTGGCAAAGTTATGAGCAACTGAAAAATTGGAAATGTTAAGCAATTTTAACAAAAAGCAGCAATACCAGCCTATTTTCTATTAAAATAGGCATTTAACACCTTGGAAAGGCCAAATGCCAATATACATATTGCCATGGTTAAGAATACGTTTGATAGAAAAAATAAGGAATATAGGACCTGTTTTTTCAAAAAGCTTATCCAAGACATCTTTCAGATTTCTATTAATTATAATGTTCTTTAAAAAAATCTGACTACAAATTGTGTTTCATATGCAGAATTTACAGCCGATTGAAATAATGTCTTTTATTTGATGACATGTATTTGAATTAACTGAATTAATACTTTGTTTTTTTGATAAAATAATAGTTGACAAATTGGATATTTTTTCAAAGATTAAAATGAAAATGGTTAAAATAGCTGTACTAAAATGTCATAGAACTTGCTTGAAAAAAGGGGGGAAAAATCTCATTTTGAACATTTAATGTCCAGTATATGTAAGTCATATAAGAAAATAGGTAGAGTGAAATACAGTGAACAAGAACTCTGCTCATACTTATGATATTAAAATATGAATACTAACATAAATGAAATTAAGAACAAATAAAAACATCTGTATCTTTTCAATAGCTCATTACTTAATTTGTGATCTCCAATCTGCTGATATGAAGTACAACTACTTCTTCCTTTCTCTATTGATAATTAAGGAAGCTGTCAACTTAGTTAAAACCCTCGGGTTAGCTATAAAGCACTAATCACAGGATCACAGGATAGAAGGCCTGGAAGGGACATCATGAGGCCATTTAGTCCAGCCCACTGCTCCAGGCAAAATCATCCCTGATTAAACCATCCTAGCCAAGTGTCTGTCTAACCCAGGGATCGGCAAACCCTGGCACACGTGCCAAGCATGGCACGCAAAGCCATTTTGCTTGACATGCCATGGCCAGCCCCAGCTCCGGGTAGCTGCTGCCAGTGATGGAGCCTGGGCTGCTCCCAGCAGGGCTTGCAGTGTCCTAGCTGCCTGCTGCGAGCAGCCCCGGCGCCTGGCTGGCAGCAACTCCCCAGAGCCGGGAGGCTCCAAACAGCTGTGCCGGGCTCTGGGCTCCGGCATCAGCTCCACACCGGCTCCAACGCATGGGTGCACAAGTGGGCGGTGGGGGAGGGGCCTGAGGCAGCGCAGCCCCAGTCTCCCCCCCGCTTCTGGCACAGAGGTGATGAGCCCGGCGCAGCTGTTTGCAGCCAGCCTGGGCTCTGGGCAGTTGCAGCAAGCAAGCAGGGGGCAGGCTGCAAACAGCTACACTGGGCTCTACAGCTTTGGCATCAGTTCCGTGCTGGTGGCAACGTGCACCTCGGGGCAGGCTGCATTGCCCTGATGTCCGCCCCAAGGTGCCCATGTAGTTGCCGCCAGCACGGAAATGATGCTGGAGCTGTAGAGCCCAGTGCAGCTGTTTGCAGCCTGCCCCTGCTTGCTTGCTTGCTTGCTGCAACTGCCCAGAGCCTGGGCTGGCTGCAAACAGCTGCGCCGGGCTCATCACCTCTGTGCCAGGAGCGAGGAAGAGACCGGAGCTGTGCTGCCTCAGGCCCCTCCCCCACCGCCCACTCCAACGCGTGGGTGCATGAGTTGGTGCAGAGCTGATGCCAGAGCCCAGAGCCCAGCACAGCTGTTTGGAGCCTCCCGGCTCCGGGGAGCTGCTGCCAGCCAGGAGCCCGGGTTGCTTGCAGCAGCCAGCTGGGATGTTGCGAGCCCTGCTGGGAGCAGCCCGGGCTCTAGCAGCTACCTAGAGCTGGAGTAGCTGCTGGCAGCCACAGAGCCCGGGGTAGAGGGCAAGAGGCAGTAGGGCTGGGGGGCAGGGGCTTTGGGTGGGGGACAAGGGGCACTAGCAGGGCATCCTGCCATGTACCCCTTGCCCTCATTTTGTTTTTCTGCTGTGCCGGCACTCCGGCACCTTCTGAGGTAGGCATTGTAGTGTTTTTCGGCACTCTGGCCAAAAAACACTGCCTACCCCAGTCTAACCCATTCTTCAAAACTTTCTGGGATGGCAATTGCACAGACTCTATAGGTAGCCTGAGCCAATGCATGACCACCTTCATAGTCAGGAACTTTTTCCTAACCTCCAATTTAAATTTCCTCTGCTGTAGCTTGAGGCTTTTGTTCCTAGACCTGTCCCCTATAGCCACAGTACATTTTCATCCTCTCTATAATTGTCTTTCAGGTATTTGAAGACTGTTATCAAATCTCTCCTCAATATTGTCTTCTCTAGACTAAATAACCCTAGTTCTTTCAGCCATTTCTGGTAAGTCATGCCTCCCAGGCCTCTAAGCATTTCTGTTGCTCTCCACTGGATTCTTTCTAATCTGTCCACATCTTTTTTGAAGTGTGGGGCCCAAAGCTGGACACAGTGAGACCTCCCCAGTGCTGAAGAGAATAGAAGAAACAGTTCTTTGTTTTTCAAGTGACATTCCCTTTAATACTGCTGTTTAGCAATGATATAATGCAGGATTTATTCTGCTTTTAAACAGAATCTCATAGTAATGCACAAACAACATGTTCTGGGACTACTGGGAAAGCAAAACTAAAAGGTAAAGCTTACAATCACTCTCTCTCCAATCTCTCAGTTCTAATCTTCAAAGGGAATTTACAGAACACCTTTCATAGATGAGCCTGCAAACTACACTTCATAAATCTACTGGATACAAAAAATCATGGAGTAAATATAGACATTGGATTTATGGCTCTTTACAGCCTGTCTACCACCTCATAACCCCAGGTAACCTGCCTGCAGCCAAACAGCTACATTCCTTCACACATTCTTTCCTCCTCCTTTTCTCCCATCTCTACCCATTGTCTCCCGAACTACCACTCATTTGCATTTTTACAGACCTGCATGTTGCCAATTAGCTTTTTTCTACCTTGGAGAACACACAACATCAGTAGAATCTCCCTATGTCTGAAGAAGGGCATTTGTGCCCGAAAGCTTGCAAAGAACATTTTTTCCAACTATTCAGTTGGCCTTATAAAAGATACCACATCTACCCAAAGAACTGCCAAAGTAAAGCTTAGACACCTTAGAGATAACCCCTTTGCAAAACTCCTATTTACTTCAACATAGCTAGGCTAGATTATATCTTACCTGAAACTGGTTAAAGCAAAGCTTGCCCTGCCCAACTTACTGCAGGTGACTAAACTGATTATTAAAATATAAGATACACAGCAAAGTGAAATGGGTGACATCCTAGCTCAGCTGAATTCAATGCGGGTTTTGTAAGTGACATGAGTGGAACCATTATTTCACTCAATAGCACCAGTAATCTTTGAGGATGAAGGAAACCTTTGCTTTAAAGTAACTTTTAAAGGCAGAGATTAATGGTCATTTAAAATGTCTCAGTATAATGAAACAAAAATGTCACATCATTTTTGATATCTAAAGGGTGCATCTACATGTGCAGTTAATGTGATGTGGTAAACTCCAGAGTACCTTGAGCCAGAATGAACTCCTCCCGAGAGCAGTGTGTACACATGAGCCTGGGATAGCAGCACTTTGAGCTGGGAAGGAGCCGGCTTGGGCTGGCAGCAGTCTTGGGGAGTCATCCTTGGGCTGTGGGTGGTAGCATTGGTGGCAGAGGCTCCAGCTGGGGCACAAGGGTGCCGAACATACAAGGTGTGTAGCTAGGAGCCTGACCCCTGCCTGGTCACCGTCTATGCATGTTTCATTTCAGTTTATTACTCTGCCATAAGATAGTACTGTCCCCGACAGTACTATCCTATCACGGAATTCATTAGTTTACCGCATCCTAATACTGGCACACGTGTAGATGGTGATGCTTTACTGTGGAGCTAATTAGTCAACTCCAGTAAAGCGCACAAATAGATGAACCCAATATGTACTATTTTCAGAGACATAAAAGAATGTGAACTATAACAGACTAATTTACTGGTCTGTTTCTATCTTTTGCCCAGATTACTGTAGAACAAGGTAAAATTACATTGTTTAGTAGAAAAGAAGTACAGTTTTACATATACAGTAGTATATTAATTCATAAGTAGTATTTACTTCAAAGTTTAAAATGGAGGACAGAAAGAACTTCACTGTATTTTCTGATATTACTTTAATTTATCCTCTGATATACTAAATAGTCAGATACTTCTACATTGTCACTACAATACACTGCCTTAGTTTTTATATAATTATGGGAAAAACTGCATCCTTCAGAGCTTGCCTAAGATGGTCAATGAAATCAGTGGGATCTGTGCACATATATCCAGGTTACAGGGGAGTAGGCTGTAGCCGTGTTGGTCTAAGGACATAGGCAGACAAGGTTTTTTGGGTGAATCTGATATCTTTTATTAGACCAACTTTAATATTAAACTTAAATATTATTTAAGTTGGTCTAATAAGATATCAGATTCACCCAAAGAACCTTGTCTGCATATATCCAGGTGACTTTCACTTTGTATTTAGAATAATTCTTCTCTTAAAGTTATAAAACTTAATTCAATGGAGTGCAAGTATGTACTATCATAGTTATCACTTAAAAAACTGCACCAGATATGTATTTTCATATATTACTTACCAATTAGCATTGCTGTACTATAAATCCTGCCATTATTTTCTAAGATTCGATGGAATGTCAACTGACAGGCAGCAACTGTTTTGTAATCTGTGCCACAGGCATGATGAACCTCAAGAGTTACAGCACTTGTCTGTATGTACTGCAAAAAGAAGTCATCAATCCTCAAAAGATACTGAGAAGTGAAGCTGTAGGATGGATTAAGACCACGCACTACTGGAGTTGCATGTAGTTCAAAATCATAGAATGCATAGGTACAGAAAGTTGCAGGTTCTTGATCACCAAACGCCTGCACAGCTTCAGTAGAAAAAATCACTTTACAAATGTGAATTTCAAATAGGTTCTCTCCTCTTTCTAAGTGGACAGTTTCATCAAATTCATCTACTGGATCATCTGACAAGATTTCTGATCTGAACTTGTACTGTTTGGTACCATAGGCAATATCCTTTAGTTGGGCTACAACAGACAATATGAAAATAGAGTTACGTGTTAATTTTATTTTCAGTATTGACAAATGGTTGCAATATACCTTGACTAATGACTGCATACAGAAAAAGAGATAATTTATCATCTTAACATGACTGCAATTTTTTTTAAAAGCAGTGCTCCTGCTCCGTAAAACTGCCTTGTGGAATCATGATTCATGTATTTCAATTATTTGGCTATAGATATATATAAAATAAAGTAAACTGTAAATGAGGAGGTTTAATAGATTAATAATAGATTGCAAGACAGCAATGAGAAGGAAAGTTAAAAAAAAAATTAAAAGAGGGAGCACTAGACTAAAAACATAGCAGATGTACACAAGCATACCTGTTTTTGCAGAGCTGATGCACAAAATTAAATAAAGAAAAGAAAAACAAGAAAAAGTAAAGAAAATTAACTAAAGAAAAGCAAGATTACCTGGGGGGTAGGTGAAAGAGAAGAAAAAAAAATGAAAAGTAGGTGTATATATGAGTGATAATCTTTCAGTAGATGGAATGAAGTTTTATAATATATATTAGAGATTCAGATGAAATTGAATATTATTACATCAGAACTTGTTAAGAATTCCTTCTCAATTCTTATTTGCAATATTAGATTTTAAACGAAAGGAAAATAAATATGAACTTGTTCAATTTAGCAGAAATTATGAATTATTATAAACATTAATTTTGAAAAAGAAGAGATTAAAATGTAGAGGAATACAGGTTTCCCTTATTTTATGCTGTACACGTGTTCCTGGAAAATGGTGCATAAGTTAAATTCTCATGAAGAGAACCCACTTTACAATGTAACAAATAGGAATACGCTCCAAGACCTCAACTGTACTGACCCCCAGACCCATTTCTACCACTTTTACTTAGAAAGTACCTAACAACAGCAAACAGTACACACAAGCACAGGGTGGTGGTGAATGTTCCCATAATGGGGATGGCAACTAAAGAAACGCGTGTCACAGGCAACAAGTGAGGAGCACAGATTCACACATGAGACTTTATTTTGGTGTGTGTCATTCCCACAATGTACTGCACAAAGCAACTGACTGTAGGTTTCCACCACACCAATCCCATAAGAGTGAATTTACCTCACTTATAACAATTTTTTGGTATAAAAAGGATTACATAAGAGCAAATTCACACATACAGAACCCGCATAAAGTGAGAGAAACCTGTAATAGTTATTCCAAATCTAAATTTGTAAACAGAAAGATAAACAAAAGAGAGGGCAAAATTTCATATTTATGCTACGATGACAGGCTTTGTGTATTAGTGCTTTTATTTAGATCAAGTCGGATGTTAAAATTACTTATTTATAGTTATTTCTGTTATTTTACACCTCTCTGATGAAGCAAGCATACATTTAAAAACTGGCCTTTGAGATATAGGTGGTGTTGCCAAAGTCTGCAACATAACATTGGATTTTTTGTAGTGAATATAAATAAATAATGCAGCTGTAGTATTTTCTAACAGAATTGGAAGGGGGTGGGTTTGTTTGTTTTCTTCAAAGAGGCCAACTGTTTTCAGTAGTACTCTTTATGGACTGGGATGATTAAAACTCATTTTTATTTATTAACATACTATGGTATGTTAGTGGTATGCTAAGGAGTGATTTATGGGTTTTGATTTAGAGCAGGGCCATTCAAATTCTATGTGGCTATGGGCTGGACCACTGGGACTACATGCCACACTGGTCACACAAGCATGAACCACTGGCCCCACTAAGCCTCATGTTGGCACTGGTGTTCTTCCCTCTGCTGCACTGCATTTGAATGTCCCGTACCACACCATGTGCAGGTGCCCCAGCTTCACTACACTGCACAGGTGACCTGAGCCAAGGGCTTCTCCGTGCCATACTGGCCCCCTAGGGCAAGGTCAGGAAGTGGAAGCCACTGAAGGGAGAGGTAGTACAGAGACCCTAGCTATTGCTGCAATTGGAACAATGGGGGTGCAGGGGAATTAGCAGCTGGTAGGAACTCAGTGGCTGCCAGTTGGGCAGCCCCATTTTAGAGGATGATTTCATTATAATAGATATTGAATATAAAAATATTATCCATTTGTAATTTGTACATTACAAAATATTTTGGGTTACTGTTGTTATTTCGAGCTATTTAAACTTTGTAAATCTATTGATTTATTGGATTTTATTCGACTGTGTATATCTATGTTTAAAGTCAACAGGGTAAAGAAGTGAACCTAATTAAAGGTGTGATCTTAATACTAATTTTAGTAACAGAAATATCATTATGATCATTTTAAGCATAATAGCAACAGTTTTAAAATGTATGAATGCGTAAATCCTAATTACTTTTGGTAAATTATCTACATAAAAAAACTGAATAAAAATCTGGGTTTAAAAAATACCCTCTAATTTTTGGATCCGTGCAGCCCTGATATCAAGGAGATGGACATACTGTTTCAGTTTTGAATCATAATCTTGTTGTAGACCTTCCATCTTCTGGGTCACTGCTTCAACTTCAGCCTGAAAAAATATTTGGTAAGAAAAAAAGTGGCATAAACAACTTATCACCCTTTCAGAATTGCCACAACTTCTTTTCCATATAGGGACAGAATAATAGCTAACAAAATGAAATGTAAATTCAGCAATGAATAAATACTGAGGCTATGCAAAAACAAACAATTTTCTAATTAATCAGTTCCAATTCTGATAAGAAACAGGCTCATTTATTAACAGTAATGCTAGTTATTCTTTACAGTTAGGGTGCAGACAAAAGTGACAGTTTCCACTGAATCTGGTCACAGAAAGCAGTTAACAGCTGTGACCAAACAACTAGATGGCTCAGTCAGCATAAAAAATGGCTGATTGGGTGAAAATCTGAATCCTCATTGCATGAGGGATCAGATGAAGACATTTCAAAACAAAGTGTGTTCTGTAACTTCTGTCTGCATGGCCTCCTAGTCTCAAGCTGTTTGCAGAATGGGAGGAGGAAAGGGAGAGCAGGGAGTGCAGTCTGGGGGTTCTTAAGCCCCTGCTGGAGGGTGGGGCAGATGTATTGGAGGCCTCCCTGTGTGATGACATGGGAGGCCTCTAATTCACCCACTTTACTTTCCAGCACCAGCTGGGGAACCCCTAAAATGAGCTTCCTCTGCTCCCTTTCACTGTTTCCATTCTGAAAACTTAGCAGTCGCACACGGAGGAGGGGCTGTTGCTAGGGAAAACCAACTACACTGCAGGCTTGCAGCCAGCAGCTACATTCCCTTCCCCCCAGAACCAACAGTGAATTTCTGTTTGGTTAGTGGAATTGTTGTAACTCAAAATACTTCCTGCAAAGCGTTCTTAGTTTCAGCAG